ACTGCAAACTAATAACCTCTGTCCTAGAGGTTGTAATGAGCTGGAAGATATTGAACATGTGACTAACAGATGTACAAAACTTTCTGAAGTTTTCAATTACCTTAATGAATGGGGGTTTGGTATTCCGGTTTTGGATACTATGGAATACAGATGCAAATGGTTAATTGATCAAAATGCTCTGTTACGTAACATTTATTGCAGTTCGGTATACATTTCCTGGAAAGAACAGAATGAAGGTGTTCACGGAAAGACTGAACGGACTGCTTCTTTTATTGCTTCGGAAGCAATTAGTTTTGCTACAGCTTCTACATGATGGAAATTCTTAAGCCCAGGCCGGTTGGATGTTAATCAGCAAATGCTGTTAGAAAAAATTTGGCATCCTCCTCCACCCGGTTGGATCAATATTAATTTGAATGCTTCTTTGTTGAAATCTAACAAAGGAGGCATTGGAGGTGTTATCCGAGACTGTAAAGGAATATTTCTTTTAGCTTTTGGCAAGCCTTGCACTCATTGGGATATAGCTTATTTGGAGCTTCTAGCTATCGAGATGATCAAGGATATCATTCAAGATTGGATGCTTGAGTATAAAGGTATTATCATTGAAGGAGATAATGCAAATATTATGAAACTCATTCAAGAGACAATGAAGAAAGGTGATAAAAGTTTAGATAATCTTTCTTTCTTCATGAATTCAATTTAGTTCTTTTCAATAGTATAGATAGAAACTCTAATAAGTTAGCTGATCTGTGTGCTAACTTTGCTATTTTTTCTTCTTTTATTTGGGATAACATTGTGCTTGATAAGATTCCTTCTTCATTTTTAAAAATTTTGAAGGAGGAATCTATGGGAGTACTCTTGTAATTTCTTTTCTTTTCCTTTCTAATGCACATCTTGCTTCCTTCAAAAAAAAAAAAGTGTGTTTGTGCAAGGTTACTTAGCATCAGAGCCCATTTTTTTACATTTGACTCAAGAAAAGGAAAAAACCCTTGATGTACACTTACAAACTGACTTAGTCCTAATATATCAAATCTTGAGCTGGCTTTATTTATAATTTGATCTTGTGAACCTGAAACATTAGTAGGCAAGGCAATCATAGAAAAATAGAAATATCAGAAATGTTTGCTACCATCAAAATTATAATTGCTGAATCGAAATTTGTAACACAATCATGGTCAACCTAGCCCATTTAAGTCTCCATTAGGTTTAAGCATGATCAAGGGGATTGTAGGATTCGTAGTGGCCAAACTTAGGTCTTATGTTTAATTTTATAAGATGCCTCATATATATGGAGTTAAGTTTTAAGGGCTCATTTGGTTAAATTAGGTTAATCCATATCATCCATGGACCCAAATTGATTCATTCCATTACAAGGAATATTATTAACATGTTTGAATGACTTCCTTATCTTTTAAATGAGTTTATACCAAGATGCTATGTAAATGGTATGCAATATAAATATTTGAAGGTTTTGAATGCTTGAGGTAAGCTTTTGGTTTTAAGGTTTAGAGGGCCATGGAAGCTTCTAAAATGGCTAGTTAGACTCTAGGGATATATCAATTCAATATGTATGATAAAAAAAAAAAATCCAATGGCTTTATTTAGGTCTTTACTCTAACTAAAACATTCTCTGTAAAGGGAAAAATCAAAGGGCTTTAAGGTTTGACATTGAGCTAAATTTTATACTTTGGGTTTTATTCTAGATTTTGGCCAAATGATTTAACTTGATTGAAGGATTTGATTTAATTGAAAGATTTAGGATGATTGAAAGGTTAAAATTGAGCTTGATTAAAGCTTCAATCAATATTGAATGACTGTGTGATGATTGAGTAGTTCTAGTATTAATGATTGAATGTTTGGAATTTAATGATTGAGTGTTGATCATTGATTGTAGTTGAATGATTTAAGGTGAATTTTAATTATTTAATTGAACTCATACAAATATTAAGTAGACACTATTTATCAAAGTATTAATAGATCTGGTATTCTGGAAAAATATTTTGAACTTAAACTTGTGATTGTCTAATTGGCAAAAATTTTTACTTTTGGGGGTAACCTTTGGAGGATTTGAACTTACAAATTCAAGTTTTTAGAGATATTTGTGATCTTCAAGTATAATAAAATGTTTGATGATGCTATTGTACTTAAAATGTTTCCATTTTTAAGTGAAAATTCAAATTTATTGTTAAATTCGTAACCATTACACTCTATTAATACTTACCACTTTCAATGGAATCTTTTATGCTTGCGTAGAAAAAGAATGTCCATGATTTTTGGAGATTTTCAATATTCCTTCATTTACGAATCTCTAACCATGGCCGCTGATGGTGGTAGTCGTCGGTCATCCACTGATGGCCGGAATACCTCAAACCCAGAATCTGCCGTGCGTCCAACTCCGTTAGTTACAAAAGGTAGATTTTCTTTCAATCGCAGCATATCTCGTAATTTCTTATTTCAAGAATACTCCTCTAATTATTAGAGATGGATGTTCTGGTTCAAATTGAAAGGTTTTTCCTAATGGTTTGAATGGGAAAGAAGTGGTTTCATATTCCTATTTGGATCCTAAGTCTCTTTTTTCTTTGTCGGATTGTCAACAATCTGATTCCTTTTAGAATGTTGTTTTGAATTTTACTCCCAAAACAAATGATTTGTATTTTTCTTCTTTTTCTTCCGGTTTTACATTGAAAGGGAAAAGTTTTTTTAGAAAGGTAATGATGGTGAGAAAATTATTGTTGTTGATGGATGTGATAAAAATCCTTCTTCCAATTTGATTGGAGTTAAAAATTTATCTCCTGATTTGGAAAAAGTGAATGTGTGGGTTAAAAATACACATATTAAATTAAATTTGAAGGAATTTGCTGATGATAATGTGGATGTGTATATGGTTAAACTTAGTATGGAGAAAGTAAGTGCCAATGTTCAAGTTCTAAGGAATTCCTTGGTTGTTAAAATTCTTAGCAAAAATTTTCATTTTCCATTTATAGTCTTTAATTAAGATGACAATGGAGTAAATTTGGTGGTTTTCATATAACCTCGCTTGGGTTAAATTGTCTTTTGTGCTCGTTTCATTCATCTGAAGCTATGGAGGAAGTTCATAATGGAGGTCCTTGGTATGTTGGGGGTTTCATCGTTGGTATAAACAAATGGTCCCCTATTTTCTCTCCTAGTTCTATGGATGGAATTTCTTCACCCATTTGGGTTCGACGTCCGCATTTACCTCTTCACTGTTGGGACAAAGTTAATATTGTAAAAATCATTTCTAAAATAGGAACCCCATTGTTATTATACAGCATCATGTTCAAATGGGGTAAAAGAGAATTTGCTAGAGCTTGTGTTCGAGTCAAATTGAAAACTAAGCTACCTTGTGGAATTTTGATTGAAGGTTTGGGTGGTAAAATTTTACAAAAAATTGAATATGAGAATATATCAGTTCTATGTTTCAAGTGTGGAAGGATTAGACATAAAGATTCAGTGTGTCCTAATGTCTCACCTATTTTGAATCATTATGACAAAGAAATTCCTAAGAAACCAGCCCATGCTGATGAGACTTCTTATGGTCCTTGGATGATTGTGAAGTTTAGAAATAAGAAGATGCTGAAATTGGTTTTTCAAAATAACTTGGATGGTGTGAAGAAACCGAATTATCAAACCAATATAGATGAAGAAAAGGTTAATAAAGAGAATTTAGTTTTTCTTGACAATATTCCTGAAGAGAATATGAATGTCTTATCTGATAAGTTGATATCAGATATTGGAAAAAATAATAAGTTAAATGTGTTATCACCTAAGGAAGAATGTAATGAAGATGCTGAATATTTAGCCGAAGGCATCAATATTGAAGTTCTAGTCAATGAAGAATTTAATAAAGGAGATTTTAATCTAGACAAGATAACTGATATTGAACCTGATAGTAATTTTGAAACTGTTAAGGTTGGTTTATCTATTGAAAATAATATCAACATTGTAAATAGCTTAAAGGAAAAAATGTTGGGATAATATTGAGAATTTGGCTATTGATGCTGTTGCTGAAATATTTGATGTACCTGAAGAAACTTTTAATGATATTGGATGTTTATGTGGATTTGTTTCTGATTCTGAACTGAAGGTTGCTACTCCATCGTCTGATGTAAATTTAAATTTTAAAAAGGCTAGGATTGTGAAGGATAAAGCTGTTGTTAATAAGGATGGTAACTCTTCTAATTCTAAACATAAGTTGTTTATAGAACTTTAATCATTGGGTCCGTTGGAAGATCTACCTAGAAGAAGAAATGCATATATCAGATTTAAGAATCATAAGGGGGGCATTTCCCCTTCAGCTCAATGATATGCTTGCTTTAAAAGATTGGAGTATTGATTAAGGCTATATAAAGATTTATGTCTATCTTTATGTTAGATATAATCAAGGTAGATTTCATTTGGTGGTTTTTGAAAGATTAGGATCTTATAACATTATTAATATTTTGTTTCTTCCATTGGCAGCAGGATGGAGTTTTCTTTGGAGATCCTTGTTGTCATATATTGTTCAATTTTTTTGAACATTGTAGACAGATAATAGTGGTTAGCCTACTTACCATTATTGGTTTTAGTTTTATGTTACATTTCCATAATAAGATTAAAGTGATAAAGTTTAGGATTCAAACTATTTTTTATTTTATTCCTCGTTGGGATCACTGGGATACTAACCAACCCTTTGGGTTGTTTTATTTTTGGTGTCCCAACACCCCAATTGGTTTAAAATGAGGAGTAGTGGTTCTTATCTTTGTCATGATAATTTATTTATTGCAAATATTTTTCTTTTATTAGGTTTTTGCTTTTCAATAAGTGTCACTTACCATTTGTCTTGTAGGGTAACATCATTAGTTTTTTTTTAATTTATAGTTGTAATAGGGTATATTTTTTTTCTTTAATCCAATTTTCATTCTCTTAAAAAAAGACTCTATTAAAACCTTGAAAGATCTTGCCCAAAATTTTATAGTAAATATTTTCATTTATTTAAAATGGATATAATGAGAAATGATATCACAAATTTTAACCAATTAAATAAGGAATCCATTTATGAAGTCTAGGAATGCTTTAAGGAGATATTAATAAAATGCCCATACCATATCTTACTGGAGTTATTGATTATTCAAACTTTTATAATTGGTTGATAAGTTCAATTAGACCTATTATTAATGCTACTACTAAAGGTTCATTAATGTCCAAACCCTTTATTGACCTCAAGTTAGTGAGGTTAAAATCACAATCTAAATCAAACTCAAGTCCAATTATTATATGCATTCTAAACTCAAAGCCAAAATAATAAATCCAAATCCACTCGAAAATCCTTTATTTCATAACCAATTTTTAGTGAAATTTTAAACATCTCAAAACTTAATTAAATGACATTGGATTTATGATTAGTCACTTACATATTGATTAAAAATGTCCTTATGTATTTCAAACCCTCTAATCCTTCAAACAAAAAGCATAATCCAAAGCTACAAAACCTTCAAATAAGTATAGCCAACACTAATACACAAGGCATATTATGAGTTTGATCTTGAAAGCCTCCTCAAATCCATGAAGCATGATCACCATCATTGGCATAAAGAATTAAACCAATAATAAGCCATTGATGGACCTTTGTTGACCATGGTTTTTCATAAGTCCCATCAAATCCTAAATCAAAAAACCTCTTAAACGAGAATTTCCCTTAAATATTGAAATGGTTCAATAAAACCAAACCATCAAACCTTTTCCAATACATCCCAAATCTAATTTCAAGTGCACATTGGACCTAAATTTATACTTTTGTCAAGCTTGTTTGGCCAAAAGGCCCCTTAATTGTTTAAACAAGTATTTCATGCATTCAAGCCTTACCATTATACGAGACCTTTTCCAACTTGTCCAAAACAATATTTGGAATGTGTTTCACCCAAACTTATCCCATGGAAAATCTTACTTTACCAAGTAACATAGGGTGACCAATGAACCCTTAAGCATTCAAATGCACATTTCATGCATGGAGACTAGATTAAACCTTGACATCACCTCCATCAAACTTAAAATGTCATTTGGAATTGATTGGACCCATCCTTGACCTTTGATCATACCCAATAAACCAATTCAACCAAGGATGATCAAATGAACCTAGATGCAAATACTCTTCAATTTCATTAACCCAAACATGACCAACCTAAGCTAAACCTATGGGATTGCCAATAAGGTGCCTAGGAACCAACCCCATGGGTCTACTTTTGTTTGGCATAAAGCTTGGCCCAAGTGGCCAAAATTACATTCCCATGAGCCTAATCATAATCTTTACGAAATTGGCCTGATTAAGGTGGTATTAATTTCCTGATCAATTACACAACATTGTGCTTAAAGCACTAGTTGTTTGTCTAATTGGTTAAGTAAATTAGAAGGAAATGCAGAGAAATTTAAAAAAATATAACTCCTCACATACTTAACCAACTTTAGAGTTCTTAGGCTATATGGATTTAGCTTTAGGAGATCTATAAAAGCCTTAAGGTTGCATATCTTAATTCCTTTTATATTAAAAAAAAAAACTTTAGAAATACTCTCTATAGTATTTCTAAAATTACTTATCAAATACAATTCATTATGAGGTGAAATTGATACGGAAGGTTCTTAGGCATGTGTTATACATACCCAAAATTTTCATGAAAATTGGAAACCTCAAAGGGCTTTAATTGATCCTCCTAAGTTCATAATCCAAGACTTCACATATAACTTGGAACTTTCACCAAAAATAATTCATAGAGAATTAGGGTTTCTTCTTTGATGTGATGATTAAATACTATGTAAGGGTTAGTTATCCCATGATTGTAACCCACCAAATTAATAAAAAATGTAGATTACATCCCTATAGGTAAAGAAGTGTTTACCTTGAGAGATTTATTTTGAAACCTCAGGTGACCTCCATTGCTCCAATTTTGGTGGGTATGAAGCATATGTTTAGGTGAACATGTGTTTCAAATTTCATTAAAATTGGAGTTCTTTTGATCAAGTAATTAGTGAGCCTAAATTTGATGTGCATAATTGTCATAGAATTTTCTTTAATTCATAATAAATCAAAATAAAATGCTTAAAATATAACTTAAAGTTTTAGATGCTCAGAATTAAATGCTAAGTAAAGAAGAACTAAAAGCCTCTTCAAATTCTTTACAAAAAATTAATATAATAATGAAAAATATTAATTAATTATATTTTAAATAATAAAATAATTCTAAATGCTTATAATTATCTCTAGGAGTCATCATTGATACTTTTAAAAGATTTCAAAAAAGTCTGGAGTTAATTTAGAGCTTAAATAAAAAATGCCCTCAATTACATAATTAATTACTTCATTAATGGGCAGAACTTATAAAAAATCATAACTAAACCCATAAACATCCAAATGACATAAATTTAAAGTCATTGAACTCATTACTAGGTCTAGTGTTTATAAAAAATATAAAATTTCTAGAATTTGATAATAATCAAAAAGTTAAATTTTGGTCAAATTTAATTAATTATAATATTAAATAACTATGAAACTTTAATAAATCATTTAAATTTTGCTAATGATCAACTCAACAAATTAAATTCAATGAACAAAAGTAAACATAATTTACAAGGTGATTGTTGGTTAACTCGAGCTGATATGGCAATTATCTTAGTCCTAAGGATGGTTAAGTAATCCTCATAGCCTTGGTTTAAGAAAGACATTTTCTATTTAACAAAAATAATATTTAAGAAATTGATAATATAACACTTAAACATTGAAGCTTTTATACCTTATGTAAAATCTCATTTGGAGGATTTATGTGTATTGGATCCATAAAGTTTAAGGGCTAAAAATGGCTAATTAAAGTAAAAAAAAATTATAAAATTAGTTATTAAACATCTTTAACACTTAAAAGCCACTTCAAAAAAAAAAAAATCTAAAAACATAAAATATTAATATCAAACTAAATTTAATTTGTCTTTTCACATACCAAATTCATTTAAAAGTCAACTTCAAATAATAACAAGCCTTCGATATATCCAAGCCACACAGTCTATTATACCCACTATAAATTGCTTATTAAGACAACCAACTCAAGTTTTAGGAAAGGTGATTGTTCTTTCATATGTTTTTATGATGTTGAAAATGATTGATGTGTAAGCTAGTGTTGGTTATTTTGGTTTGATGTGATGGATTTTTTGTGAAGCTTATGTTTTGATGAATTCTCTACGATATGTGATTAGCATTTAGATTTCTCTAGGTTAGGAGCTATCTGGATGTTTATTTCTAATCAAAATTTTACTCTGTAGGTGGCCATACATATGCAGGGCTATTAATAAAAGGGGAGGCTAAAATGAATCAAGAATTAAATCTAATCATTTTTAGGTTCTTTGTTTGCTTAGCCCCTTTAAATATAAAAGCATGACAAAGATTATAGGTTGTTCAAAAATCAGCAAGTAATTATATGTTATGATATTATTTAGGATTATTATTAAATAAAGTGCTTACTAACATTGTAGAGTGTATAGAGTCATTCTTTTTATTTTAAAGATGTAATTCTTCAAAAAGAGTTATGAAAGTTTATAAAATAAGACATTTTCAAAAAAGATAAGGGATCCAAAGACAAAAGAACATCCTTTATTGAAGAGTACTTTTCATTTAGATGTCCTAATAAATGAACAAACAAGGAGCCTAAAGAAAAGAATCAAGAAGGAAAAGAAGATTTGAAGATAAAAATGTCTTATTTTAAGATCTGCATCATTTTATAGGAGTAGAGTCTAGGTTTTATCAGTGGGACCAAGCCACCATCACTTTTCAGCAAATCGTAGGTTGAATATTAAGTGGCACTTAACACATGGACTTTATTCATTATACTATAATTTATGATTTGATTTGATTGATTTGCTTATATTGATTGTGTAAAAAAAATCCTTTTTTTTATAGGATTCTTTTTTACATGTGCTTGTGCCTATGTATTTTGCAAGGATCTTAGGAAGAAAAAAAACTTTTTCTACTCATAACTAAATAAATTTTTAGATACATAGAAAGATAACTAAACTTCAAAGTAAACTAGAGCTTGTATTGGGTCACATAAAGCATATCCATCCTTCTTTCCTTGTTTGGTACCTCTCCACTTATGGGAAGAAGCCAACACCTACACTTATGAGGGTATAATTTTATCTCAGGGGAAGCCTATTCTTTAGTATAAAATCTATTTTCTATGCCTTTTTAAATGTTCACATGTTGATTATTGGACAAGAGACAATTTGTATGCATTGAATTAGAAACATACTAATGAAAATTAATATTTATTTGCGTGTACTTCTAGATTCATAATCACCCTTCATATGTCCAAGACCACTTAGGAATTTTTGTAGATGTCGACCCTACAATAATAAAAAAAAAACTTTATAAGAAAAAGCGTACCCATCTTTTCTTGATCGGATAACATGGTTTTAAAGCTATTGGGTGGTTTTGTTGTCTTTATATTCTCGAGAATATGCAAGTCCAAATGCACTTCATTAGTTAGATTTGAGTTATTAGCCTATAATTTCCAACTTAAATCTATGTTAAGAGGCAAACCTAAAATCATAATACTTCACCCTCCAAAAATATAATCCCTAATATCTAACAAATTGTTAACTCGAACATAAAATTTCTCCCCAAAATATTAAAAGCCACTATATGATAAATTGAAACATTTCTAGGTGGTCCAAGAATTTTAGTGCTCCCTATCATTAATCCTTTTTCTTACAAAAAGAATCTTTCAAAATTAAATCAATCCCATTTAAAACTTCTAAACTCTCTCATCCATGTCTTAATAATTGAATCTAAGAAAAAGCTTGCCACTACTTTAAGCGAGAGTGTTCATAGGAGATTTTTATCTCCTAAGATATAATTAACCATAATGGCTTGCCTTTATACGGAACATGTAACTCCAAATTAAAATAAATCATATTTATCTTTAATAAGGTAGGGAAGACATCTCTAGAAAGTGGACAAATTTCCAAAACAAATTTTGTATCCAAAGTGCCTTTATAAAATGTCATGATTACCCTTTGGTGTGATATGACATATCATTATTATTTTTTCTTACAGAAAGAATAAATTTTCAAAAA